GGTATGTGAAAAGTTCAGGGACCAATGGGAGAAAAGAGGGTTTGAAAGCTTTTAAAAAAAAACAAAAACCCAATACCTTTTAGGCCAAATGAAGCATGAAGAATACCCAACTTAAAATAAAGACTTAAAAAAGCATTAGCAGTTCTTTCCTTTGTAGCGAAGCCGTCTGTAAGGTTTGAATTGCTGAGAATATGATTTGGATCCTACTCTACTCTTTCCTGAGACTGTTTTCCAGACAAGACCAGCTGTTCTGGGGAGGAACCCAGTGGAAGCGTCAGGTCCCCTTCACTCCCAGCCTCGTCTTCAACCCCAGGCCAGAGGCACCCACCCAAACTGGGGTGCCCTGCCCAGCTGGTTCCCAAGGTTCCCCTTCAGCCAGCCTGACCCCTTTTGTTGGTCAGGGCTCTGACAAAGTGTCCACTTTCCTCTTTAAGTTCAAGGAAGAAATTTAAAGTCAAACTCTTATTTTAAATGTTTAGAACATGGCTTCCCGCCCCCTCCTCCTAATCGCAGAAGCCCCATCTCCTAAAGCAATGGCTCTCATCATTGAGAGAGCATCAGAGGAACTTGTAAAAATGCCAATTCCTGGGCCCCATCTCACTCCCATTCTGGTCCCATCAGCCTTGAATCTGCATTTTAGCAAGCTTCCAAGGCAATCCTGATACTGGAAGCCCCTGGACTGCACTCTGAGAAGCCATGTTTGGAACAAGGAAATGGTGCCACAGACGGTACTTAGCTGCTGGTCACATTCACACAGCTGTATCCCTGAGTTAATAACTCACATGATGCCTCAGGCACTGCAGGGGCTGGGAGGGTGCGGGTCGGCTGGATGGATGGCGGTGGGGAGAGAAGGGAGGGCTGCTCAAGAGAGATGGACAGAGGCCAGGAGGATTCCCAATTAACATAGCAAAACAAGCCGGAGGAAAGCATCACACTTCTTATACAGATGTCTCTCTGAAAAACGTGTCAACCAGGGCTGAGTCATTTTTAACCAAGAATTCTGTAAGGGACACGAAAACATGTATAACATGGACGACATGGCCACAGGACAGGCAGACCAGATGCAGGCCTGGGAGCCATGAGCTGCAAGTGAATGAAAACACATCCAATTCAGAATCAAATAAACACGCCTGGGCCCACAGCCAGGAGAGTTCTTGGGTTGGACTTTTATCAGGGACCTAAATTTTAACCAGCTGGAACTTCTTCTTTTCCAAGTACCACCCTATTCCTTCCTACCTTTTGAGATGAAGTATTTGCCTTAAATGGGAAACTTGCACTTCATTGTAAAGACGATGCCAGCATTCTGGCTTCCTGAATTCCTAAAGGAGCAGACTTTTTTGGGGGGTAGAAATTGTGTTTCAGGGATAACAGACCAGAGAAGATGTACCCCGTTTAGGTAGAAAGGCAAGAAATGTTTCTCCTCCCCCATTGGAGGAGAAAAAGCCACTAAGTCAAAACCTGTGGGAGTAAATTCCTAATTCCTCATTCCATAAAGAGGCTTCTCAACCAACCAGCAAGCCTAGAGGGGCTAACAAACCTCAGCGCCAGGGACTGATATGAAGTTACCCATTACAAACAAAACCACTCCACTATCCAGAAGCAAGAGTTAAGACCCAGTGTAAATGAGGATGCTGGCCCCTCTGGAAGTTTTACAAACTGTTACTTCTTTGGGAAAACTGTATTACTCAAAGAGTAACTTTACCTGGCAAGGGCCCTAAGAGGTTTTTTTAAGTAGTCGAAGAAGTGTGCCCACAACTCATTTCTAAAACACCGAGCTGTGTTCAAGATGGTATCGGCTCCTTAATTGCCCCGCTAATAATGGGGAGGTTGTGAAATCTGACCACTTAAACCAGGCCGGCTCCTCCAAGAGCAGCCCCAAAGGATGTGTCAGCAGAGCTGCCTGAGGGTGAGCTGGCTGCAGTCACCTTGCAAGTCCTGGGAAAATACACATCCCTGCAGGGGCAAGAGTTCCTGGAACAAATGCTCCCTGGAGATCAAGGGGGTCATTCACTCAGCTCCTTTCCAGCACCCAGATCCCACCCCTCCTCCAGGGCTCACATTTCCATCCTGCTGTCCCCCTCTCAGGTTCTGTGTGACCTAAACCCACAGGAAGCCCTCTCCTGTTTGCATAAGACATAATCAAAACTTATATGTTCGGAGAGTCTCAACTAGACTGTGAGCAACCTCAGAAGCAAGACCAACACCTATGGCGTGAACACCCACTATCTGGTAGCAGACAGACACAAATCAAATACCCAAGTCACTGTCCACCAGTACCTACTGGCCAGTCCTCTAACAGAGCAACTTCTGGAAGTTACCTAGAAAACTGAGGGCAGGGAAGGCTTCCTGCAGGAAGTGATGCTGGAGCTGAGAGGGGAGGCTGAGGTGTGAAGAGAAGGAACGCAGGCAGGGACAGCATGTGCAAAAAGCCTGCTGCGGAGAGGACACTGGAGCTTGTAGCTCTGATGTCTCCTCATTTAAAATCTATCACTTAATACAGGATTTAGCAGGAAGGCTGCAGGGTCTAATTGGGTTCAGCCAAGATTTACAGGGCTCCAGGCTCTGAGGCCACAAAGATGAGGTTAAGTGGCTGGCTAAAGAAACTAGTCTGAAGACACAGATGTGAACAAATACTGACGATGTAGTCTGGTGAGAACCAGAGAGCAAGGACCCACATGAGAAGGTGAAGCAAACGGAATGGCATTCAGGGAGGGCTTCCATAAGGAGGCATCACCTGGGCTAAGTCTTAGCCCAAGCAGGGGGTTCTCAGCAGGGGGGAAAAAAAGGCATCCCAGGAGCAAGGAAAAGCATGCTGCAGCAGCATAAAGGGCACAGGGTGGGAGGGGCAGGGGCTATGGCTGGAAAGGTGGGTATGCAAAGCAGGTGGGCAAGCTGGGTCAGGGAGAGCTGGTGGCTCCATCAGATGCACCAAAAGGCAAGTCCAGGAAGGAAGGAGCCATGTATCAGAGAAGAGCCTGGAATCCCGGAGATGGCCCAGAGGCTTCCACGCTCATTCAAGGAGGGGATGAAGATGACCTAAGGAAAAGATTGGTGGGGGCAGAGGAGGAGCTGTTGAGAAAGTCACCCCAACTAGGATTTGTGGCAGGAGAAGGGAGGTCAGTGTGAGTGCCAGGCCACTGGGGCAGTGGCCACCATTAATTTTGTGGGGTGCACAGGATGCAGGTTTAGGGGAGGACACATTCTGACAGGCAGAGAGAACAAAACCACCAGCTTGGCTCCTATGGGGCAACTAAGGTACACACAACATTAAAACTTCACAAGCTTTGTGCACTGACACATGAAGCCACCTCGGCAATGGCAGAAAAACAACAAATTGGACTGACCCACCTATGCCATCATATGAAAACTCGGAATAAAATGCCTGTGACGCTGTTACAGTTATTCAAAAGCCAACATATCAGTTTAGACCAAAAAAATTTAGAAGGATCAATAAGTCAGCATGAGATAGCCTTAAGGAAAACTTTTTGATCTAAAACCTGGGGAAAACTATCTGTTAAAAAAAAAAAAAAAGAATGGTGATATTTTACCAAAATGGGACAGAGTAAGAAAATGTGATGTTTTACTCAACTAGGAAGGATGTTATATTCACTTTGGGGTGGGTGGGAGGGTGGGTTATAGCTGTCCATACTGCAGCTATCGGGTTTAAAGAATCCCAGCTGCCTGGCTCATACTTGGTTTTCTGCACTGTGTTTCTCTGAATGTGGGGCAAGTGAGCTGGAGGCACCAGCCTGTGCCCCTAAAGGGTGTCAGGTCCTACACCTTGACTGCCCCATAGCCGTTCAGAGCACTCCAGAAGATGTGGGTCAACGTTGCTCTAAGTGAACTACCCCATACTCATCCCTCGGAGCAGCAGTGCTGGGGAAACCAGGAAATCCCCACTTACTCCCATTTTCCAGGTGAAGAAACTGAGGCTCACAGGTGCCCAGGGGCAGAGCCAAGGTCATGTCCGTGGCTGCCTGAGTGCAAAACCCATGTCCTCTCCACAAGACTGAAGGCCGTGAGTGCCCTGGCGCCGAACCCACCCTGGCTTCAGGGGGAGGTGCGGAGCAGACGGATCAGTCTCCGGGTCCTGCGGCCGCCCAAGCCCAGGAGCCCTGGGGGGGAACGGGGATGGCAGCGTCCCCGCGCACATCGCCTCCCCTCCCCCCCAGCCCTCCCACCATGCTCCACCGCCCAGACCGCGTCAAAGAAGCGTTCGGTTATGGGGAGAGGGCTCCACGCACAGCGTCCAAGTCTGTGCACCTCTCCAGTCTGGTCTCGTCTCGGGCACCTGACCGAGGTGACAAACTCATGCCTCCCTTTGGCCGTGAAAAATATCCCCAACTCAAGCGGGGGCGGGATGAGGGCGGGTGGGAGATCATCCGTGAGACCATTCGCTAGACGAAGGGCTGAACAGGAGAGCAAAAGTTCCCATCAAGTCAGGAGTCGGGGGTGGTGAAAGTTGGGTAAGACGGCCCGGCCTAGAAGAAACAAAGCGGCCCCGGGAGCGGAGCGCATCCCTCCCCAGCGCGCCGGGTCCCCTCCCTGGCAGTCCCGGGCCTTTGCAGAGATGTGGACCAGAGGTTCGGGGGAAGGTCCCCACTCCCGCTCCAAAGCGCTCCCCATGCGGACAGCTAGGAGGATCCCAGCCCCGGGGCGCGCAGCCCTGAGGCGGAGGAGGTCCCAGGCCAGGAACAAAGGGTGGGGCGCCCCTCTTGCCCGCCCTCCGGGGACCGAACCCCGGCCGGTAGCTGCGCCTCGTTAGCAACACAAAGCCCAGGGTCGGGCGGCCCCTTTCATCCCGGCCGGGGCTGGCGGACGCGTGTCCCGGGAGGGAGGGAGGACGGGCGAGAGCAGCAGGGACCCCCGCCCGGCCGCAGACTCCGCGGAGAACAAGCACGTCGGCGCGGGCTCGGCTGCCCGCGAGCACCTGTGCGCGCCGCGCCGCCGCGGCCCCCGCGCTTTTGGGGACGAAGAGAAACTCGCCATCCTCTCCTTACCCTCCAGCCGCAGGTGTCCGCGCCCCGCGCTCTGCTGGAGCCGCCCGCGGCCACGGCCAGCTGCGAGCCGTTGAGGCAGGCGTTGACCGTGAAAAAGACGGAGCAGAGCTGCAGCCACGGGGCCATGGCCGTGCGCTCGCCCAGCCCGGCCCTACTCTGCGCCCCGGCCGGCCTGCAGCTGGCCAGCCTCGAGTGGGCGGTGGCGCCGGCGGCGGCGGCGGAGCGGGCCATCTCACCGGGCATGCGCCGCCTGCCCACGCCCCGCCCCTTCTCCCGGGCCCCGCCCCCAGCCTCGGCTCGCGCGGTCTGGCCCCGCCCCTAGGCCCCGCCCCTGGGGCCACGCCCCGAGTGACCGCTGAGAAGCCGGCAGCTGCAGTTTTTGTCTCTCACCTGAGATCTTTTTTTAATCCAAAGGATTTGTCCAAGGGAAGCATGCTCCTTGCAAAAGCTCAGGAAAACACAAAGAATATAATAATAGTTTTAATAATAATAATTTAATAAACACCCACTCTTTGCCTGGCCCCTTCTCAAATCCTCCCAACCACACAGGGAAGCGGCAGTATCATTGGTATCCCCGCTTCCGGCGCAGAAAAGTTAGGGTAATGCGGTGGTTAGAGAAATCCCGACTGGACCTCGAACAAATGACTTGCTCTTTCCATGCCACTGTTCCCTCACCCCTAAACTGGAATAACAATAAGAGAAAGTCTCCTAGTCTGGGGAGGATTCTGTTCGTTAACACGAAGCAAGCGCTCAATAAATGCTACAATCTGTCATTAACTGACTTTCATCAAGTCCCACAGCTGGTACCCACAAGACCTGAGATTCAAATCCACTTCTGACAAAAACAATACTCCTTTTTTTTTTTCCACCCCCCAAAGCCCCAGTAGATAGTTGTATGTCGTAGTTGCACATCCTTCTTGTTGCTGAATGTGGGACGCGGCCTCACCATGGCCGGAGAAGCTGTGTGTCGGTGCGCATCTGGGATCTGAACCTGGGCCGCCAGCAGCGGAGGAAGTGCACTTAACCGCTAAGCCACCGGCCGACCCAAAAACAGTACTCTTAACCACTACACTTGTGAAACTTACTCTTGTGAAGTGGGTAGTGTCTCTGCTTGGAAGAGGAAGCCGACACTCGGAGAAGTGGGGTAGCCAAAGTCATATGACTTTTCACCACAAACCCCTGCCCCCTTTGACTTCTGTCTGTGCACCTGAATCCCGCCTCTTCCCCCTTCTCCATTGCCTCATCCCTTGTCGATACCACGGCATCCTCCTCCACAACATCTTCCCAAGGGCTTTTCCCGCTTCCCCTGTTGTCCCCAGATACAGTGCATTTCTCCACCCAGGATCCAAGCTGATCTCCAAAAAGGTAAATCAGACCACTGACTTCTGATTAAAAATCTCCTGCAGTGGCCTTTATTCAATAGCCATTTAGAATAAAATCCATACTGACCTCCTCCTCTCCCACATTATCTCTTCCTGCTCTGTCTTCACTACCTGGCTCCAGCTATGCTGATCTCCCAACTCGACCCCATCTTGGTCTTCTTGTCTCAGTAAACCTTGGAGACTCTTACCTCCATCCGTCAGACCAGGCAGCCTCCTCTACATGACTCTCTCCTTCCAGGGGCCCAGAATCCCTCCCTCTCCTTGTCAGCCTGGCCTAAGTGTGGTGACAGCTCAGGGGCTGCTAACACTGGGTTTCTGTACTTTCCCTCGTGGCTCCCTACACCCTGCCCATACCTAGTACTTAAACCCTCTGCAGAGGCAGAGGTGGCCCCAGCTTTGCATGCTACCCCTATGGAGAAAGAAGACTCTTCTCAGTAATACTAGCAGAAGTCCTAGGGATTGGCTCTGACAGGGCACCTTTGGAACCAGGGGGCAGAGCTAGCTTCACCTGAACCACAGAGGCTGGAAGCAGGAGATAGTGGTTGCCCAAAGAAAAACAGGCATTGCTGCCAGAAAAAGAGAGGAGCGGTACTGGGTTCCCCAAACAACGGCATCCACCAGAAGCCCCAGGGGCTGGGATTTCCTGTCCATGTGCACCACTGGACAGAAATGTTTTATTTTTCATCTCACTGCCAGGATATTCAGGAATTCAGCCAGACCAAGTGAGGGAAGCACCACAAATTCTTTGGTCATCCGGAAGAACCAGGATCCACAGAAGGCTGCCTCCGGAGTAGCCTTCTCTGAATAAACCTCATGCAGCTTGTTGTTCCTCTGGCGGAGCTCTTGGTTCAATGCTCTGCTTCCTTCTAGGTCTCTGCCCACCCTCTGTGACACTTTTGGTACCCCTTTCTGGGTCATTCCCAACCCTCGCAGCAGGGGATGTCAGGGTTTGGGCATGAATGTCAGGGGTGCCAGGGGCGGAGACCAGGCCAGGGCCCCAAGGGTGTTGGTGAAACACCACCAAAACCATGAGGCTGTCTGCTGCTTAGCCTTCTTAATCTATATGACATTCCAGCCTAGATATGCTCCATAATTTCTTAACCAGTTTCCTGCAGAGGGACTTCTATTATAATTAGTGATTCAAAAATATCCTCACACATTTATCTTGATGCATTTATTCAACTATTTTCTTAAGATACATCTCTAGAAGCGGAACTGCTGAATTATGCATATTTAAAATTGACAAACTGCTCAGTATCTCATTGCAGTCTGGTTTCTAATGAGGTGGACCATGTTCTCCTGTATTTAGTGGCCATTTGCATTTCTTCCTTTGTTCTGGAGTTGGACTCCAGGAAAAGGATCAGTATCTGGAGCTTGTGATAGAGGGAGAGCCTTAGGGAGGCCACTGGGGAGAGGAGAGCCTTTCTTCCTGGGTTTTGCTCACATCACCGTATGATTGAGTGACTGGGGAAGGCAGAGCAATGCTCCTGCTCCCTTTCTAGACGCCATACCTGCCCACTGGTGACTTCTCGCCCGCCCACACACAGCTCACTGCCCAATCTGGCAACTGACAGCCTCTGAAAACATGCTGCAGAGTTCAGAGAGTGCTCCAACTTTTCTAAGAACGGAGGACACAAGAAAGAAGAGGCCTAAGTGTCCACTCTAAAACATAGTTAGAAGGACACTGGTCAGAACCAGGGATTAAGAGGCCCTCCACTTATCTTCTAGGGAAGCCATAGTATGCGTGTGGGAGTGGGGTGGGGTGGGAGAACCACATACATCAAAGGGTGAAATTTGGTCAGGAAATAAAGGTAATAAATTGGCATTTGGCAACATCCTTCCCATTCTGGTCTTTTCCATTGATTCTTTTCCTCTCATCCCCTCTTTTTATCTTGACCCTTGGAAATATTTGTGAGGCTGCAAGAAGTGAAACTTTGTACTGGGAGCTGACATAGAATGAGAGAGCCAGGTTCCCACATAGCCTCCATGGACCATATCTTCTAGACCACAGCCGAGACCAGCTGTGTAGGTGACCAGAGGATGAAGCCCTCCCCAAACACAACACATGGTCCCACCCGTCAAGGCCAGGATTGCTTGTGGACAGTCACAGTTTCAGCCATCCCTCACCATCCCTGTCTGATCCACCTGTCTGCCTCCAGTGCCTGGCACTCTGCCTGGCACACACCAGTGGGCAAGAAACTGTTGCTGCCTCCATCCCTGTTTGGAATGAAGCTGGAGATTAAACAGATTAAATCACCTGAAAATAAGCAGTTGATGAAATGCAAATATACTTCCCTAATTTACTTAGAACCTAAACAGATAAGAAAAATCCTTAACATAAGGGTTGGATTTTGTCAGGAGACAAATTATCCCCTGAAACATAAGCAAGGATAAAGTGATCATGGAAATAATTTGTGTCCTGAATCAATTTCAGCCAAGAATAACTAAAGACTATTTCAATGAACAGTGGTTAAAAGCAGTGGGTCGAAATTCTAATTTATTTTTGGTACTGTGATCAAGTAGTATATGTTTTATGTACTAATCAAAGTATTAAAGATAAAGGATGCCCTCCCCTCAGTCTTCCAGCAGGCCGAGGGTGCAAGTTTCCCGGGGGGGG